GTACTTTGTATTTAAACTTTTAAATATTTTATTTTAGACTTATTTTATCATTAAACAACCTTAACAATTTATTTTATGATATTTACATAGTTTATATTTGTTTTTATTAATATATAAAAACACAAAAATATGTTAAGATTTTACGATTTTATTTGCGATCTTACAATTTACGATCTTATCTCTTCTTTACAATCTTAGTTAAAATCTCGATTTTAACAACTATAAAACTGTAATTTTAGTTTTTATGATTGAACAGTGGCAAATCAACCTCCCAAGTGAAACCAGACGCAAATAAAAGTAATTTTTGTCTAATCTACTAATTTTAAGTGATTTGTCCATGTGTGCCTCCACCTCAACATCCATCTCAGCCAAAAAATGGTCACGTCAGACAAAGAGGAAGGGCTGATGAACGGAATGTTAAATGTTAACGGAAATGTTAAGAGAAGGGGTGATTTGCCACTGCAGAGGGGTTGAGGAGCTGATTTGCGCGTGAAGTGGGTTGAGGGGGTGATTTGCCACCAGTTGTTGAGTTTAGGGGCTGATCTGCACCTTTTGCCGTTAGATTTCTTGTGTAATTTATAAAATAGGGGACCCTTCCTGTGATACACAACCTTATTCTTTAAAGATTTTTATAATATGTGAATTAAAAGTACAAGTTAGGAGAATTTTTTTGACATTAATTATTATTAAAAAATAAAAATTAATCTTTATTTAATCAATTATCTAATTAAAATAATCTATGTGATATGAATAATAAAATTAATATCACACCTAATAACTATATTAATAATTAGGATGGTTTTGACCACGAAATTCAGTGAAAGTAATCTCAATGAGCACACCTAATATCCTTTTTTTTTTTTTAATCCATTGTTCACATGGAAAATCTCATACATTTTTTTAGTTGTTTTCAAACGAAGAGTCTAAATCATATAAATTGCTGCAATAAATTAATCAAAGTGTTTCCCCAAAAATCCTTAGATGGTCTTGACCACGTGAGTTTGGATGTTAGGCGTGCCACTTGCTTTGTTTAAAAACAAGAAAACAAGATTTTCTAGATGATCTTTCTCATTTTCAACGATTGACCTCCAATAGGATAGCTGGAAAGAAAG